TTCCATTCTTTAACATCTTTTTCACATTTTACTTGTCTTGGATTTACTTTTGAGCTTAGGATCGAATTCTTCTATTTAGTTAGTTGTTTCATGGTTGAACATGATTTTGAAGTTGTACATGCTTGCTTGATGGGTCTCACTTAGATATGGTAACTTGCTTGTTGAAATTTCATATCGTTATCAAGAAACATGATTCGAATTATCATTTTATTTGATGTGCAAGTTCTAGCAAGTACATGCAATTTTTGCAACTTAAACAATTATAGTATTTGATATGGGATACTCCTAAATTCATCAATTAAATTATTATTCTTATCAATTTTTTTTATAATTGATGAAAAATATATTGATAATTGTATGAAATTAAAAAGTTATAGAAATAACAATTTAATTAATAAATTTAGCAATACTTTTTGACATCCCACCCAAATTACTAAAAATGATAATCATCAATCGAACCCATTGATATTAATATATATTGACAATGTCTCACACGTGCACCTTCATTTATTTTTTGTTCCATTAAAAATGAAAAAAAAACTTTATAATTTTATCCTCGACATGTAATTGATGTTTTTTCAAAGAGAGAAGATGAAATGTAATTATTGTAAAATGAAAGCATGGACTATCCCCTTTCGATTCTTGCTAGATGCTAGCTCTATGCAAATGTGTATCAAAACACTAGCTAGCTCTAATCTTAAGCCCTAATTCTATTACCACCTATCTCCAACACTAGCTAGCTACCTGCTATGTCATTAAGTACCTTTTCTCGTCAAATAACACCTTTAAATACTATTATTGTATTTTCATTAAAAGTATTTACTATTCTTTGTTCGATTCTTGAAGTTATATATATATATATATATATTTGTTTGATGGTCACAATTTGGGTTGCTATTTTAGCCGTAATCAATTTGTTTGTTTATTTTTGTAAATGTCAATATGATTTGTAATATAGATTTCTTTGGATCAATCTTTTAAAATTCATTTGAATTGTTGATTCATTTGGTTTTATGAACATTTAATGCTAGATAGGAGAATAAGTGAGTAAAGGGTTGTCAACTGGTTTTGATTTATGATAAGACATATCTTCCGCATTCAAGAGAAGTAAGTTTTTTATATCCTTGATTATTAAAAAACTATATTTGTATTTGAAATCTATCTACATGTATCATTTGATCTCGTGTTTCTATATTATGTAATGCTACATATGTGCAACTTTTTTTTTCAAGCATTCTATGTTTTTATGACATTAGTTTAGGTAATAATATTATAATATTTTGCATTTAACATAGATGAAAATGAATGTCGTTAAGAACATGCATGATGAAGAACAAAGATGTAATACACTCGAATGAGAACTTATTGCAATCAAATGGTGGTGTTCCTTTGGTCTTGAGAAACTTGCAAAACATTCAAAAAAAATTAAGGAATGTTAAGAATGGTATCGACGGATCATGGAGAATTGGGAAAGAAGAAGCCGAATGGCGATTCTACAACTAATTTTTCATGTTGTGCATACATTACACCTAATTAATGCTCAAGCATTTATAGTTCGTAGACCTATACCCAAAAGAAGTGCTCGTAAGAGATCATCTACGCTAAGAATTAGTAAATAGGTTAACTTCAAGTGAGACGTCCTGTCGAGATATTGTACGGATAAGTCCCCAATCTTTCTTCCAATTATGTCGGATGTTGAGAGGAAGTGGTCATTTGAAGGACTATAGGCGGGCAACTATAGAGGAGCAAGTTGCCAAGTTCCTCGACATTTTAGATCATAACTAGATAAATCGAGAGCTCGTCTTTTATTTTCATCGATCGGGTGAAACTATTAGTCGACATTTTCATAATGTGTTATAAGCAATGATTTCCCTTAAAAGCGAACTCTTTAAACAACCACTTGGTTCGAAGTTCCACCATAGAATAGAAATAGTAGTCAATTTTTTTCTTTTTTCAAGGTAAGAAACCTTCGTTATATTTTACATAAGTAACTTTTATAAGATATTTATTGATTTAAAAATTATATAATATATGAAAGTATTTATACATATTCATTTATACAGGATTGTATTGAGGCAATAGATGGAACACATATTCGTGTTAAGGTACCAAATGATATTGCAATCGGATATCAAGGTCGAAAAGATTGGCCAACACAAAATGTATTAGCCGCTTATGACTTTGACATGAAGTTTACATATGTTTAAGCTCGGATGGAAGGGAAAAGTATCAAGAATTTTAAAAAATGCTCTAAATAGGGAAGAAAAATTGATAATTCCTCGAGGTCAATTTAATTAGTGTAGAGTTCTACTCTCGTGTTTTTGAATGCAACTACATATCTTCTAACCGTACGTAATCATTTTTCATAGGAAAATATTATCCGGTGGATGCCGGTTACATGCTAACAAGTACATTACTTACCCTATATAGAGGTGTGCGGTACCATTTGAAAGAATATTTTGTACGTGGCCCTCGGAATTATAAGGAGTTATTCAACCATCATCACGCCTCCCTTTGAAATGTCATTGAAAGATCATTCGGTGTAATGAAAAAGAGATTTCCCATCATCGCAAGTGAAAGGAACCACATTACTCATTTCATACAATGACGGACATAGTGCTAGCCTATTTTATATTGCATAACTATTTTATTGGAGTAGATCCCGATGATGCTATCCCCGCTGAAGTTGATAAAGAGCTACTTGAAACCGATAGTCAAGAAAACTAAGAAATATATGGTGGACGCAATGTTGATCGGGAAGCATGAGAAGGGGCACTTTTGTGAGATTCTATAGCGATGTAAATGTGGAATGCCTATGAAAAAATTTATAGAATGCAACTAAACCAATTAGTTAACTACTTTTCCTAGTATTAATATATTCTAATGTGAATTAGAATAATATATACGTGTTATGACTTTAATGCAAGTTAATGATGTTTGTAGTTTTAACATGTACTCGTTGTGTTTTTGCTATGTATATTATGCCGGTATGTATGAATTATGACACTAATTCAAGTTAATAAAGTTTTTAATGTTAACATTTATTATTGTGTTTTGTGTTCTTAACGTATTTTTAAGTTACCAAGTATATTACAAAATTATTTAATTAAAATAGATGTTTTGCAGTATAGAAGATGTGTAGGGGAAGTAACAAAAGGTTTCACATGACCATGCTTCTACCAAAAGTAATATCTTTTGGAGCACCGAAATGGATAATGTATTAATTGATTGCATGCTTGAAGAGAAAATCAAAGGTAATCGACCGAAGAATATTGGACAACAACAACCTTAGATAACATGTTGTAAGTTCTAAGGGCTAAATTTGGGAATCACATCCAAAAGAACCATATTAAGAATAGACAAAAGACATTGAAGACAACTTTTAGTAAGGCGAAAGACTTATTTCATGGTGCAAGTGGATTTGATTGGAATCCCAAGACAAAGACTTTTAAAGCAAGTACCGAGGTTTGGAGGGAGCTTATTTAGGTGACTAGCATATATAACTTTTATGAATAAATTACTTTCAAAGTATATGATAAATTACTCTTAATGTGTAGGCAAAATTAAAAGCACGAAAGTGGATGCATCATCTAATCAATAACTATGATAAATTATATAAGATATATGGATAAGATAGAGCTACTCGGAGATGGTTCGCAAGTGCTAGAAAGAGGGTGATGATGTGGGAAAGGGAAGGTTCGTTTAGCCAATTTGATCTCAATTAGGACAATAATATAACATCGGATAGTGAAAAAAAGTGGGGAAATCAAGCACCAAGCTACAATGCAAATGTTAACTTCTATACTCCCGAGTATGTAGGTTCACCTAATTCGAAGAAACAAACTCATCTAGAGGCACTAAACATAAATCTCATATGGTGAAAGCAATTCATAGTCAATCCGAAATGGTGCGTCTAGGAATGAAAGAAGTCTCCGAAGTAATGAAGGAAGGAAATGCAATTATAGAGAAGTCATTGCAAATTTTAGAAAGGGGTAATGAAATACTAGAAGAAGGGAACTTCATTGCACAAAAGTCATTGATCATTTTAGAGATGGGACGTCAAATTTTTTTTCATGAGGATGAGATATTCACTAAGCTTAAAGCAATATGATTGCAATCTAGCTTCCAAATGAGTGCATATCGCTTTTTGGCTAATAATCCGTCACTTAAAAGATAATTCTTTGGGTTGCCTCATCATAGAAGACTTGAATTTCTAATATAGGTGATGACTGAAAGAAGTGGTCGATGAAAGTAAGTTAATTATACACAAGTTAGAGTATAATTTGTTGCTTTATCAATTGTTTCAAATTTGTTGAACTTGCAAATTGTTCCTATATTATTGTTCAATGTACACTTCTATTTTTTTTTTTAACAATTGGGCTACTTGTGTGCATAATCAAATGGTGAAGTAGAATGCAAGGAAAATTAGCAAAAGTATTACTTGAATTTTTGTTGTATTGTGATTTTGAAGTGTATTTAACGGCTATTATATGTGGATGTTGTCTTAAATTATAATGACTTAACTAGAAACTTATGTAACTTGTTTGTGGTAGCGAGAATAAATTGATGCTAAGACTTTTGTAATTATCCGAAATGTGTATGTACAAATTGATCCTAAAACTTACTTAATTATATATAATGTTTGAACCTAATTTTTGCTCCCCTTTATTTATTTATTTATTTTTATTATAAAACAAAACAAGAAAAAAAGAGTAATTGGAATAGTCTAGTTTAGATTAATTCTAAGAATGGAGCTAATTGAGAAAAATAATAGGTTAGAAACAATTCAAAAGACAATCAAGGGCATAATTGAAAAAAAAAAAAACACAAAGCGTCGAGTCCTTTAAGTAAACTAAAGAGGGGTATAATTGGAACAAATTAAAATAAAAAGTCTTAATTATTAGTAATGGGAGGATTTAAAAAAAAAAAAAAAAAAAAACCTCTCTCCCATGCCTATCGCCCCTCTCTCTCGCCAATAGCCTATTACCTCTCGCTAACCACTAACTTGTCGGCCTCCTTTCATCCGTAAGCTCCCACATACCGAGCTTTCCATGCCAGTGCCTCTCTTTCTTGTCGACCACCGACCTACCAGACCTCTTTCCAGCCTACTTTAACCCCAAAGTATCCAAAAAAAAAAAGAGCAATCCCTTTGAATAACCCATTTGAACCACCAAAGCATTTCTAAAAACACCCCCAAATCAGATTCAAAATCACCTAAAAAAGCTCCAAAAAAAACCCATCAAAACAGACACAAAACATCTCTCAAAACATCCACTTGAAAACTTTTTAGAGTTACTAAAAAAGAAGAAATAAAAAATTATTATTAAAAAAAAAGGCTAAAAATATTTATGTGTTGGATTGTTGGCAGCCATAACATGATGTTGTAGGTTGTATTTAGTTGAGTCTTTTTGATAGAAAAATAAGCAACAAAGCTACCATGGGCTTTCGAAACTCTGTAAATTTTGCAGAACTTTGGAGTGTTCACCCGAGTAACGAGAGGGGTTTTGATCACTTTAGCAGCACTCACATCCCACATTCTTAACCAGAAGTTACCCTCCTTTTTCGGCTAATAGAATATTTGATTATCATCGAAAACGAAAAAGGTAGGATCGACTTCGAATCTAACGTTGACACTTCAAACTTTTTGGGTAAAAATCTTAAAACATGACATTTCGAAAGCGTGATAAATGTTTGAAAATGACTATGTGCATTTGAAACGTGGTTTAAATTGTGATATTTGGCTTAACATTTGCAAATTAAAGGTGGTTAAAAATAAGACATTATTGCAATGACCAATAAAAGACAATGTGCCATGTTTTTTTTATTATTATGCATATTGTCCAAATATGAAATTTGTCTCATTTTTTGTTATTCAATTGACTTTTTATGATTGTTTGTAATATGCTACAATAAACTTTTTTTTGTGGATTGCTAAATAATAATTTTTTAATCCAAAATTAGAAAAAGGGAAAATGATGAGTAAAAGCAACTAATTTATTATATACGTAGATAATAATACATGTTATACATATTTAAATTAATTTTATGTTGACAATTAATCTGAATTGGCTATTGAATTAATTAATTAGTAAACAATTATTAATTATTCTATAGAGACGATTCATTATCCATCTTATCATGTTAGATAAATGTTACATGTTAGATTTTTATTTTATTATCATTTATGCAATTTTAATGAAAAAAACATTCATATAAATTAATTATAAGTATTTGAATATAGAAATATAATCATATGGGTATTATAGTAAATATATAATAATATATTTTTTTCTTTTTTTATAATTATTCAAATAAAAGAAATATACTTTTTTTATTTTTATTTTTACTCTTATCTAAAGAAGTGAAAGATAATTAAAATATCGCAATGATAGGTGCTAGCTTAGCTTGCATAGTGCAATCAATGCTGAGGAGCATATATATATATATATATAATTTGACAATTTTTTCCGTCGGTGACTTGATTTTATGTCCACAGAAATCATGTAGACATAATAATTGATTATATATCTGGTAATGAGAGCGACAGCCAATAATATTAAACATTAACGATAGAGAATAAGTTTCTCATTTTATTAGATAATGATTCAGCACAGAAATTGCATGGCCATAACATGTCATCATATATAAAGTTTTCATTTGAGTTGGATCAGATCTGCAGGCCAACCTTATTGAGTAGGGAAATTAGCTAATTTCAGTACCGAAAAACTGGGCCCGGCTTACTAACTAACTCAATGAACTTGACAGCAACTTTGACAGAATTGGCGTTGGCCAAATAACGAGAGTTGGAGTCTGATTTTCCTTCAATTACTAAATTCGAAATAGCACGGAACACAATGTAAGGCACTCCATTTGTCAAAGATGCCTGCAAAATTAACGCACGAAGGAGAGAACCATTAATTAGTATCAGATATTAATGCGACGAACTCTGAAATTCATTATTTTTCCAAATTTCGATCTTCCTTGCGTACCAAAGCAACAGCAGCACTCGATGTATCCACAAACGTGGCATTAAGTCTTTGGGAAAGGAATTGGGCATATGCTGCATTTTTAAGGTAAACATCTGCAGTGGAACCCTTTACTCCAAAGACGATTTCCGGTGTGTTTTCTAAGCAATTCGTCTCATTTATCTCATTTACACACTCTTGTAACTTCAAACCCTGCAATGACCAACTCGAAAATGGTAGTAATATTAAACTATTAGCTAATACTCCATACTCACAACAAATATATAGAGTCAGGTAAACGAACGTATGGCAAACCTGCAGCTCAGAAGCAATCGTAAGCCAGTTTGAGTCGACAGGAAGCCACAAAAGGTTCTGTGATGCGCTCCCGGCAGTGTACAGTTTTACTTTCTGAAAGTCTGCACTTCCCAAAGAATTGGCTCCTTTCTGTGGAAGATTGAAGTCTCCAAATTTGAGTTTCCCTCTCTTGGACTCGTTGCTCTGCACGTGCACGATAAGTAAATAAAACATCAACGCTATGCCAGCAGCACAATATTAAGTTCAAAATTTAACTTAGTTTTATTGTACCTTCCATTCCCAATTTCCTGTGAACGCAACAGACGCTGGAACAGCAACATCACCAAGGTACAATGAATCACTAATACTTCCAGCACTCCCAAGATGGATGATTCCATGGATACTAATTAAATCGAACAGAACTTGGGTGCCTAGAACCACATTTGGCTGATAGGCATACAAACAACGAGAACATTAATTAATTATTTATTTATTTATGGCACGTTAACGAATAATACATACATATATGTATATATATATGCAGAGAGAAACGGATTCTTACAATTTCACCACCGACATTAACAATTACCACATCAGCATCCTTAATCTTTCCAATGTTGAATCTTCTTCCTAATTATTAACCAAGAACCAGAAAATCAAACTTATGGAAGTAAATATCAGTCTCTCGTTTTTTTTTTTTCTTATTAACAGTACCGTCATCATTGCCCGCAAGTAACAGAAAGGAAAAAGGTGTTACCGACAAAGTCAATGTACGGCACATGAGTGCTTGGAACAAAGAAACCAGAATTAAGAAGAGCGTCTTCGCTTGCAGAGGAAGTCACAACAATGCCTAAATAAGACACTGCATTTTCATTGATTCTATTGACAATCCCATATAAAGGGTGTCGCAAGCTCAGCTGCACGGACTGCTGTGCCATAGCAAATAGCACAAGCACCATCACAGCCAAATCAACTGCCCACAGTTTACGTGGGAGTCCAGCCCCAGCCATTGATTCCCTTGGAGAGAGTGAAAGCCCAGGTGTGTAGTGAAGTATGGAGAGGGAGAGAATTAATGTTATTGCTTTGAGTGCCAAGTGCAGGCTGCTTTCTCATTGGCTTTATAGAGATTGAGATTCCAAAATACCCTCCAATGACTGCAAAATGGCTGTGCGCCTAAATGATCCATCTGATAATAACCGCTAGTTGGTACGGGTGCACGTAATAATACGAAGCAATTAAAATTTTCTATTTGTTCCGCCATCTAATATTATAAATCACACTAATTAGATTATCATAAATAATTAAATTTATCTAAATTATATATCTAGTAAATCACGTTTTAAAATGTAAATTTTTCATATTTAATAGTAAATTTATAATTAAAAATGAAATAATTAATAATACATTCATCACAAAATAAGGTTAAGACTAGTCGGCAATAACTAAGAAAATAATCCTAAATAGTAGATCAATTTCATATAATAATTTGTATGATCATCCTAGAAAATAATGAATAAATCATTAACCAACTAAAGTAAGTTTAAGACTAGTTAAGAAAGGAGATTACCTTACTTCAGCAAATAACAAATTAATATTAACTTTAAAGAAAGAAGCAGGGTGATTAATTGATATTTTTCTTCATAAATTAACCCTCCAAGGATACAAAATAGCTCTTCTTCTTAAAACATGACTAATTTGGTCTAATTTACTCAGAAGAATAAATAAGTTCGATCCTTAAAAAAAAAAAAATAATAAATAAATAAAAATTGAGAGTAGGTGGATTTTGCTACATGGAGTTGGGATTGAGCGTAGGTGGAGGCTTATCTGAGTTATATATAAGCTTTACTTTTCTTATCTTTCTTTAAAAAAAAAAACTGGATTTTCTTAATTTAACGACACAGAGATCATTTTATTGAATAATGAAACAAAAAGGTCCCAATGGTCACGTAGGCAAGCGTAAAATAGCAAGTACTACTACCGAGTACTATTTGCATATGCTAAAATTAGGACTAACATTAGATATTTGAGTAAGAAAAATGGAGATGAAAGGGCATAGCCATAGGGTGTTGAATGTTGATGGGGCACTCAATGTCTTGAATTTTGTCTATACAAGGGTAACTTGGGTATTTGATATGAGAAAACAAAGAACGACGTGTTGATTGACAAAACTGGTGTGAATAGTGTTCCTAAATTAAATGAGTTTGGGAAATTATTGGCCAAAAAAAATCAATCAATCATGCAAGAGTAATGAAGAATTTAATCGACATAAAGTTTTGGTGAAAGATTCTCCAAATTGGGATTTGTTTGTTGCGTATCCAATTTTCAACTGGAGCCAATACATTTATAAACACCATTGTCTACATCTCTGTTCTTAGAAAATTTAATAAAAACGAATATTTCTAATTTTGTTTTAAGGTTGGATTTGCATGTACTTTTAAAGATGAGTTGAAGTTTGGTTGGTGAGTTAACTCGACTGGGTTATGCTTAAGCAAGGAAATAATTGAAATTTTGCATTTTTTGTATTGGTTTTTCCATTGCTTTTGCTAGCATGGAGGGTTTTTTTTTTAAAAAAAGGTTTCTTGTGAGTGTTGAGTTCAAATGAAAAACCAAATAAAGTATGTAATTCATAATTATATATATATAAAAAAAAAACACAGATAGATTGAACTATGTTGACCAGGTAAATTTAGTCATGTTATCATATTGTTTTACACATCATTTTAATTTAAAATAAAATTTAAGTTAAAAAAATTTACTTAAGGTAATATGGTTATCAAAAAATTTAGTTTATAATATTTCTGTCCAAAATTAGAAAAAAGAAGAAGATAAAATTGGTAAAAAAATTTTATACATTAAGCATCATTGTTAGTATAAAATTGTAGTCAAAGATTACTCTCGATATTCATCAAACATTTTTTTATAATACAAAATTTTGGCCAAAGATTCGTATCCTAAGGAATGCAATTTTCAATCATACCAATCAGCAATTTTAAAGACCAACACCTACCTAAAAATATTAATCTAAAAAATAATATATACTTTTAAAAAGGGGAAAATAAATATAATACACCACCATGGAAATTTTGAGTTTATCCATTAAAAAAAAAAAAAGGCAAATCAATCACGTAGCTCACTATCGTCACGGATCTTTTTTTTTTTTTTCAATATAAAAATTTGGTAAAAGATTCTCCATCTCAATTGAGATTTTTGGTTGGTGGTGGATCCAATTTTCAATGGGAGTCAAATAACATTTAAGAAGTAATAATTTTAGGTCAATATCCGGCGAATATTTTACATGAAATAAATTTTATGATATTTGGTAAATAATAATATAAAGAATTTCATTTTTTTCGATGCTATGAAAATAAAATTTAATATTATGAAAGGTTATTTTCCTCCTTTTTTTCATTTAAAATTTTTATACGAAACAAAAAGAAAAAGAGTGGAAAGTGGCATGGATAATTTTTTTATCCTTTTTTTTTTCCTTCTACCAAACATATACTTAGAATTATCTTTATTTTAATAAGAAATTAGAAATGGGTAGTTGGATGGTGTGGAGCTGTTATATTATCTTTATTTTTATTTACATTTATTAGAACACGTGGACAAATTCGCAATCACACAACTGTATGATCTTATTGCTTGGGTCCCGTTAACAATATTTTAGATAACAAATAGTGATGGAAATTTGGCTCCATGAAAGAGACAAACCAATCATGATTTGTCCATTCTGAAATTTCTATGCTTATTTAAAAGCATTATAATTATAATTATTGTGCATTAAAATTATATATTATATAGCAATAAATTATTTTAATATTCAGTAATTTAATAAATTATTCCATAATTATGTTAGTTACTAATAATATTATTCAATTACAACTCAATAATATATTGTCACATTTAAAAGAAAAATAAATATTATTTACTCTATAGTAAATAAACGATTATGAACTGTTAAATAGATTCCCACTCAAGTCAATTTCGGGAACCTCAAAGCACTATAATTATAGATAGTCCTTCGAAATAACCATTTCGAGAAACTGTTACATGTCCATTTGCTCATCTACGGAAAGTTGCTGCTCAGCGGTTGATAGTAACTGATCTATTTGGATCAAATCTGTAGGGGAAGGCAGGTGGAATGCCCACTACCTGTTTTTGTTTGAACTTGGAAAAAAGTACACTTCCTGTTTCATTTTATTATATTATTATTTCCTTACTGTGAAATTGCTTAATACTATTCAGTGCAATAAATACTTTTGTCAGCTTTGTAAGTAATAATGCATTCGCCTGAAGGAAATGGGTTATGGTCTTCGTTGTCCCACGAATACAATGGACCAAGTGAAAAAGATTGCAATGACCCACAACAAACGATAATTAATATTCGCTCAGACTGCCAAAATTTATGGGGCTCCTAAACACCACGCTGGAAAGGTGTTAAGAGTCAGACAGGGTCATGCCGTGCATGTCTTTTTCTGGCTTGCTTTGCTTCCATCCACACATCTAATATTCCAATCTTATCAGATAAGTAGAACTTGGAAAAAAGTACACTACCTGCTTCATTTTATTATATTATTATTTGCTTACTGTGAAATTGCTTAAAACTATTCAGTGCAATAAATACTTTTGTCAGCTTTGTAAGTAACCATGCATTCGCCTTTGCCCTGTGAAAGAAGGAAATGGGTTGTGGTCTTCGCTATCCCACGAATACAATGGATCATCTGAAAAAGATTGCAATGACCCACAACAAACGATAATTAACATTCGCTCAGACTGCCAGAATTTATGGGGTTCTTAAACACCACGCTGGAAACGTGTTAAGAGTCAGACAGAGTCATGCCGTGCATGTCTTTTTCTGGCTTGCTTTGATTCCATCCACACATCTAATATTCCAATCTTATCAGATAAGTAGAACTTGGAAAAAAGTACACTACCTGCTTCATTTTATTATATTATTATTTGCTTACTGTGAAATTGCTTAAAACTATTCAGTGCAATAAATACTTTTGTCAGCTTTGTAAGTAACCATGCATTCGCCTTTGCCCTGTGAAAGAAGGAAATGGGTTGTGGTCTTCGCTATCCCACGAATACAATGGATCATCTGAAAAAGATAGCAATGACCCACAACAAACGATAATTAACATTCGCTCAGACTGCCAGAATTTATGGGGTTCTTAAACACCACGCTGGAAAGGTGTTAAGAGTCAGACAGGGTCATGCCGTGCATGTCTTTTTCTGGCTTGCTTTGCTTCCATCCACACATCTAATATTCCAATCTTATCAGATAAGTAGAACTTGGAAAAAAGTACACTACCTGCTTCATTTTATTATATTATTATTTGCTTACTGTGAAATTGCTTAAAACTATTCAGTGCAATAAATACTTTTGTCAGCTTTGTAAGTAACCATGCATTCGCCTTTGCCCTGTGAAAGAAGGAAATGGGTTGTGGTCTTCGCTATCCCACGAATACAATGGATCATCTGAAAAAGATAGCAATGACCCACAACAAACGATAATTAACATTCGCTCAGACTGCCAGAATTTATGGGGTTCTTAAACACCACGCTGGAAACGTGTTAAGAGTCAGACAGAGTCATGCCGTGCATGTCTTTTTCTGGCTTGCTTTGATTCCATCCACACATCTAATATTCCAATCTTATCAGATAAGTAACGGTGTTAGTGAAGCATTTAAATCATATTCTAGGCTTTTTTTTTTTTTAATTTTAAAATTAAGATGTTTTTTTAATATAGTCTCAAAATTTGATTGATCAAGTAGTTTAAATTTCACCAATTCTCCTTTCTCAAGTATTGAGCAGATGATTGTTGTAGAAAATAAAAAATAGGAGATAATGGAGTGAAACAAAACAAATAAGAAAGAAAATGTTTTTGTTACTGATAAAGACAATTGAGAGGTACATTTTTATAAAACTAACAAATGCCTACAAATAGACTAAAATTTTAACTAGATTCCTACTTTCCATTATTAGAAATACATGGTCAACTTCCCAC